AGTTGTAAAATGCCATAATAAATCGGAAGGGGTAAGGTGTAGTTCCTAGTTTTTTTACTGGGCGCACAAGGAAATGGAAATGGAAATGGTGGGAAACGCAAATAAATATCCTGCAAGTTCGACAAGTCGACCTCTTGCGACTTTGTCGCTCGAATTAAAAAAACGCTGGGAAAACAAGAGAGGTCGACTTGGGGCAAGTCTAAGCTCGTGGCAGTGCCTCTGAGACCAATAACGTCCTGCAAGAAAAAATCAGCCAATTAATGTTCTAGAAAACAATTACTGTCACAGCAAGGCATGCATACGGCACTGAGCTTTTCAATGTCTTACAAAAACTGCTATATCCTTGTTAAACTTATTGGAATGCATAAGTTGCAACATAGAATGCATGATATGCTTATTGAGTTCAGCAATTGTAGCCATGACCCCAGAGGTGAGAAATAAGTGCACTAGTCCTTTAATTGATGTGAAATTGGTTTTTGCTGCTGTCAATCAAAACTAATTAGCCAGTACCTTTGGTATTTTTAACTGGCGGCAGTGAAAGATCAAATTTCAACATTCAACTCTAAACTACTGATTTTGCGTAATATTGAGAATCATAGGAAGGTAATGTTGCAAAAAATCCTTATAATCTAAATCAGAATTTTCAATACTTTTTTTGGAAACAAAGGTGTGCGTGTGCTCGAAAAAGTCCAAGTTCAGGAGGTTCTCACCGATGGTACTAATGTACGAGGATTGCTAACAAATAAGGGGATAATAGATTGTGAAATATTTGTAAACAGCTGTGGTATGGTAAGTTTGTCTATTTTAAGACTTTTGCATTCAGAAATTTTTTCTTTATGAAATATTGACAGTTTCTTAATTTTTGTTTATTTTCTATTGTAGTGGGCCAGAGAATTAGGTTTGGTAAGTATGTTTATCATAGAGTGTAAATAATATACCTGTGAAATAGATAGCTAGCTAACTAATTACTAACCTTTGGTTGTCTAAGTCTAATTAGTTAAAATAGGCAAGCCGTGACCGGTAAACTAGAGTGCACGTGTGCTACTCAAGGGCGCGCATTTTTAAATATTTTTAAACACACTTACAAAAACTGAAACAATATTTTGTTGTGCATGCTTTTCCTTCCTATAATTTTACATGTTCGCATTTTCGTATCTATTCATTTGCATTTGCAGGAACAAATCTTGGGTGTACGTGGCTCAAGCAAGGAAACRAGCACCATCTTGGCTACCTATGATGAAGGTACAAAACCAACAGCATGGACATGGGTCCAGACGTCGCAAACGGAGAAAACCCATCCTCTCACGCGTTCGTCAAGCGATGTTTATGTTGATGAAATTGACAATGGAAAAGTGGAGCTGTTAGTCCGTGTGCAAGATGAGGAATCTCAAGACCCGTAAGTAATCTATTTTTTAAATTTTATAACAAGGAAAAAAAGTATATTTTCAAAATCACTTATATGTGAACAGTGTAGTAGTATGGTCGCAGTATTTTTGTATGTGGTATTCTCTTTTCAGAGATATAAACAAATATTCAAATATTTTGGTTGACTTGAGCAAAAGATTTGGTCTTGGATCTTTTCTCCTGCCAACATGGCGGGCTACGTCTTTTGTGCTTATATTTTGATCCATAAAACAGTTAATTATGTACGAAAAAATGGAAAAAATGCGTTACTGACTAACAACGAGAACAGGGTGCAGTACGTTGGTCCAACCCATCGGAATTTGGAATATTTGTGAGACAAAGCATAAAATACGTAGCTAAGATCAATTAATTGAAATGATTTTTTTTTTTTCAATGACAGTCGATACGTAGCCATTCGTCCGGGTCCAGTTGAGAAAGCAATTATCGTTCATCATGTTGTTGAAAGCGAAGTACCTTACACCAGGAACCTGCGCGTAGAAGGAAAGCAAGGGGAAGGTTTGCAAGTCAAGAATGGAGTTGTGCAAATGAATATGAAAGATTTGACTCCAGAAGCGAGGTAAAATATCTATTAAACACCTAAGGCGCAATTACAGGGAGTAACAGTGTTGCGACACAAGCTGCAAGAGTGTTTACACGGTGCAACGGAGACGCAATCGTTCCCAAAAGTAGAAACGAATTCTATTTTTTGCAACAATTGCTAAAACTTGTCTTGCAACATTGTTTTCAAATTGCGTTGTAGGTTTCACACTGCAATGCTAYATTTAACTGGTGTTGCAACGCCGTCGCGAGACAAGTTGCAGAGAAAATTGCTCCGTGAAGCGCGCTTTTAAGAAACAGAACATTTATCGAACTCAGCGCGGAAGGAAGGTGGGGCAGTGAGGCTAAAATTCCCCCACTTTTTCCCATACTAGTCTCACATTTAGCCCCCCCCCCTCCCCTCCCCACCACCACTTTTTAGGTTGCCCAGCGACCCCTGGCTATCTTTGCATGGATATATAGTCTTTTCGTTGCTCTAGTAATGAAGTAAAGAAATAATGTCTGCGCATGGCGTATCAAATATTTCTACCCGTCTGATAGTACTAGTCTATTAGAGACTTTAAGATCGGCAGATTTGAATTGATAATTTAACTTTATAATGCTTTATTTATGCTCTATTTTCTTTACAGAGAAGCATGGGTRCAAATCATGGGCATAGAAGATAGGAATTTTGAGGTAACTGAAGTGAAATAAACAAATAATAAATGAAAAAATAGTTTTAATAAGTTGGTCGGTTGGTTGCCTGTTTACCTGGTCGATTGGGTGGATGGTTGGTTGGCTGGTTACCTGGTCGACTGGCTGGTTGGCTGGTTGGCTGGTTGGCTGGTTACCTGGTTACCTGGTCGACTGCGTGGCTGGTTGGTTGATTGATTGGTTGGTCAGTTTTTTAATTGGTTTGGTCGGTGGTTTGGTGGGTTGTTGGTTATTTGATGCACTTGCGAAGTAGCGAGTAGCAAATTAGTGRAGTGTTGAATAGAGGACTCGTAGATAGTTGAATTCCTACAATGGGACGTCCTTCATTCGAGGGTAATGTGAAGTGACGGGTTACTCATTCACTCATTCCAAAATAATCATAATAGCTTTACCTTCAGGAATATCAAACATTCGAGATCCCCGTCAAATTCGACAACAAACCTCTTCGTGTAAARAGTAAAGAAGATATTTATGCTGTGCCAATAAAGAAAAATAAAAGAAAACCACTGTCAACTCCATCAGTAAAGGTAAAAACTACATGCGACTGCTGAATATAAGATTCCAAACCCTATGCTATAAATACAGAAGCGCCCTAAGGCTGGAAACGCGCCTAAATGGCAACCATGATGATGATGTTCCGTTGTGTGATACACTGCTCGCGAAGAGACCTCCTCGGCTTGGGAGTAATGTTTTTTTTTTCCATTTCAGGCCAAGTCATTCCCTAGAGTATCATTCCTTTGTTTAACGGTTGTACATGAGAAGACACGTGACTATGGATACAACTGAAACAAAKAATTTTMTATATTCTCAAGGGGARATAACTAGCTAAAAACTAGTGTGAGCTGCGTCGGTGTTTCWAATGAAACAGTAATGATAAAAGGGTAAATTATRCACCGTGAATATATGGAAAAATTTACTGACGTTTCGGACGCTAGTCCTTCGTCCACTCCACTCCACTCCACAAAGGACTAGCGTCCGAAACGTCAGYAAGTTTTTTMAKCTTYTCACGGTACATAACAYTAATTTACCCTTTTATCATTACTATYCTCAAGGGAATAACACGTGGTCTGAAATGGGAAAAGCGCAAGTAACCGCTTAACAACAAGAAGTATTTGTCTACCATTCTTCGACTTACGTTACTCTTCTTTGTATTTCGTTTACCAGATTGATGAAGTCGGGGAGGAAAAGCAACTGGAAGAGAAGAAAAGCGGTGGCTTTGATAAGAAAAAGAAAGAAACTGATACTGAGAAAAAGAGAAGGGAGTT